AAAGTTGGAAGGGGTTTCAGAAAACATCTATCTTGTTTTACCGATAAAAAAAAAATGCGGCCAAGAGTGATTTATGTAGGTCACAGAGGGAGGGAATAGAAGGGCTGGGAGACTTTGGAGGCAGAAGACTTGGGTTCCCTACCTCTGATGCTCAGGAGGTTGGAAGAGCTGGCCAGTGAGGTCCCTTTCATATCTAAATCCATGCTTCTACATGCCTGGGTCCACCGGCCCAAATCCATTGCTCTTTCCCATTGTTCTCCAATGGGATAGAAACGCCTCAAGAGCAGGGACTGCTTCGTCTTTGTCTCTGTTTCTACAGTGGCTGGCACATAGCAGGCGTGGTGACTGGTCAGATGATAGGATCATAGTCTTAGGGCTAGAAGGGACCTTACAGGTCATCAAATGCAACCTCCTCTTTAACAGATAGGGAAACTGAGGCCAAATCAGGTTGAGTGACTTGCTGAGGATGGCACAGCTGATAAATGTCCGAGGCATTGTCTGGATTGATGTCTTCTTGATTCCAAGTCTAGTATTCCGGTTTTTCTACTTAGCAACAACTATAATCCCTAGGATTTATAAGGCGCTCGAAGCTTTGCAGAATGCTTTACATACATGGGTCATCCCAAAGTCTTAGTGCACACTTCATTTCATTTGATCCTCGAAACAACCATACGAGATAGGTTCTATTATTATCCCCATTTTACAGATGAAGAAATTGAGGCCAAAGGCGGTTAAGTGACTTCCTAGACCTGAAGCAGAATTTGAACTCAAGTCTTCCATACTCAGATATGGTTCAGAGGAAGATAATAGTAAATTTAAGGAAAATAATCACACTTTAAAGAGCTTTGTTTTGCAAATTTCTTTACATTCATTATCTCATTTGAGCCTTTAAAAAATCTGGATTTCTTTATTTCAAGGTAAGTGCTCTTTCTTGGAATCTTATGCATTTCATTTTATGCATTTCAGAACATGATTCAGAGAAGGGGTCCATAGATTTCTCCAGACTGCCAGAGGGGTTCATGACACATACACAAGGTTCAGAATACTTGTCCTAAAGGCAGTAGGGAGCCCGGGAATCTTCTGGAGCAGAGGGCCAGTGTCATCTCACCAGAACTGTGGAATGCTTCCTTTGTCAGCTGTGTGGAGAATGGCTGGAGAGGAGAGAGACAAAGTAGCCAGAGAAAGCATCCTCTCTGAGGCTGAGAATACAATTAGGAGACTCTTGCACTAGTCTAGGCAAGATGTGATGAAAAATTGGAATGGGAGTACTGTGCTATACGCTGGAAAATAGAAGGACTGCATAGATGATGGCAATAAAGCCTGTATGTGCATGCAGGGCCAAATGAGAAAGTTCACTAGAATCAGGAGAGGCCAGAGAATAAAAGGAAAACTTTGGGTTTGGGAAAAGGAAAGTTAACCAGTCACTTCAAGAGTAAGATGCAACAATGAGAGAGAATATTTATAGGCAACATCTGACACCTTGGAAGGAAGTCAAGCAACTGGAAAGCTTTGAGGTTTTTGTCTTTTGTTTTCTGAGATATTATATAGACAGAAATCAGTTATTCATGCCTTTCCTCCATTTGGCCCATCTGTCTGTCATCATTCTCTAGCTTGCTAGAAACACTCATTCCCATCCTTTCTCTGACAAGACCTAGGAAAGTGAGTGCTGGCTCTTGACTGGAGGAGACTGAGCAAACATCTCTGATTCCTCCAAGGAGATAATTCTTCACTAGGGTGTGACTTCTTTGTTCAATTAGAAGCAGCACAGGAAAATGGACAGAGGACTGGCTCAACTCAGCATTGGAAAGACCCCGCATTCAAATTCTACCTTGATAGAAGCCGTGTGACTCTGAGCATGTCAATTTTCCCCATGTGTAAAATAACCCTAACTGTGACACCTCCCTTATCAAGCTGTTGCAGGGTCCAAGTGAGGTAATGTCTAAACAATACTTTGCAGACTTTAATGTGCGATATGAATATCATTTATTATCACTTGCTGAATTGAACTGAATTGAACACACTGATATCTTCTTGGGGAGTGACAGTCTCATGCCTCCGCAAGGTAGCCGTCCGTATTTTCACCAGCAGGAATATGATTTGTTATTGTTGTTGTTTATGAGAACCGCAGGGCGTTTGTCAAATTTATTTAAATCATCAATCATGTTGTATAGCTATTTTCTTTTTTACATTGGACACACATAATGAGATTTTGGACACTAAAATGTTTTTTTTTTTTATTAAAAGCTATGATCTAGAGCCCATCTGGGGAGGCTAACTCATAAATCCATAGGAAAGAATAAATTCACAAAGGTTATGAAGGCATACACTTAACTTTTAAGGCACAGTCTGGAATATAATTTACCTCTTCATTCATTCAGCAAACAAGCAAGCATTATTAAGCGCCTACTGTGTACAAAATCAGCGTGCAAGGTCCTGGGAGTGATAAAGAGTTTAGATAAAACAAGGTGCCCACTTTTATGGAGTTCACATTCTAGTGGCGGGATAAGGAACATGCAATAATATGTGACACATTATTCAGAAAGGTACGAACCAAAGCCAGGGCATGAGAACAGCGAATTGCCACTTTTGTCTGGGTGGAGTAGCCTTTACGCTTGGCTGTCACAGAGAATCTGCAGCCAGGGAGAGCCTGAGAAGCCTGGAAAGGGGCCAGGGTATGGAGGCATCGAATGGCCAGCAAACAAGTCTGACCTTTATTCTGTGGACAATAAAGGGTCCCTAAAGATATTTGAGACTGGATCTAAGCAGAGGGAAGAGTATTATGGGAACTGTATTCAAATATGGATTGGAGGGGTGGGAAGCGGAACAAACATTTATTAATTGCCTACTGTGTACCAGGCATTAGGCCAAGGCTTTACAAATATTATCTCAGGGGGTGGGGAGGAGGAGGGTGTTTAGACCTAATAAGAAGCTACCACAGTCTGGCAAGTAGATGATACAAAGACGGTGTCCCTCCAAAACCAGAAAGCAAGCCCCCAGTGCATTAATTCAGCTTATACAGTGCCTTCTGCCATCCCGTAAAGTAAAGAAAATTAATATGGCTGAATCATTGAGTGAGAGGCCTCTAGGAGCTCAGAGCCCATCTGCTTTCACCCCTTGCAGAATACATGAATCCCCTCTGTGATATCTGACCGAGACATGCTGTAATTGTCGGATTATCCAGGTAAAGAAGGGAGAGACCTCAGAGACCAGCTAATCCTACCCCTTCATTTTACAGATTAGGAAACTGAGGTATAGCGAGGCTAAATATTCATCACTCCATTGCCCCCAAAATTCCAGTGGTTCCCTATTACCTCCAAGATACATATAAAATACTTGGACTTGTAAAGCCTTTTATAACCTGGCCCTTTTCTCCCTTCCCAATTTTATATCCATCTACCTACTCTATGAAACGACAGCTCTGGCCTTCTCCCAGGTCTGGGCCTTTTTACTGGGTTTCCTATGCCTGGCATGCTCTCTGTCCTCATTTCTGCCTCTGAGTTTCTCTGGCTTCCTTAAAGACTCAGCTTAGATCCCACCTTGTACCAGAAGCCATTCCTTCTTCCTTCCCTTCTGAGTGGATCTCCCACTTGCTCTGTATATATTTTATATGAACACCATAATTTGCAGGTTTCCTTACTCATTAAAATGGGAGCATCCATGTGGAGCCCTGGCATACAGTAGGTGCTTAATAAATATTTCAGATACTTGCTAGCTGTGTGACCTGAGCAAGTCACTTCACCCTGTCTGCCTCAGTTTCCTTATCTGTAAATGATCTAAAGAAGGCTGGCAAACCACTCCAGTGTCTTTGCAAAGAAAACCCCAAATGGGGTCATGAAAAGTTGGACACAGCTGAAATGATTGAACAACAAAGACGACAAGGATGATGATGGCCTAGTGCTGCGCTAGGCCCTGCCAGCTCATTTGTAAACTTATTCTTGGAGAGTGAACACAGAGGTTAATCCGCTTGACGATGGCCCTGTTCACAGACCTTGCACATAGCAGGGGCAGTACTTGAAACCTGGTCATCTAGGTTCCAAGAGCAGCTCTCCATTGACTATGCTGCTCAGCCTCTGTTCATGTTCCCCCTTCAGCCAAATTAGCTGTAGCCAGACAGCTGCCACCACCATACCCTTCATTCAGAAATCATCTCTTATTTCTGTCCAAACCTTAGTCCATCTAGTGCCAGGATTAATCACCTGTTCTTCATAATCACCAGAAAGTTCAGGTGAATATTTGACCTTGTAAAGAATAAAAAAAAGTGATGCCTTCTGACTATAACCAGGTGCTTACTTTTAAAAAGAGTGAACTTAGCCTGGCTCTTGAAAACTGTGTACAATCGTAGAAACCAGTTGTTAATCAGGTATTTAATCAAATTCAATTAGCTCTGAGACAGGCCTTCACCAAGTACTTTGGACAAGTAGATAGCCACTCAGCTAATTTTCTCAGTAGTGGGGTCACCAATGCACTTGAATTTCTGTTGCATTTTAACCAAGCTAATTTGGAGATGATGAAATTCAAATTCAGATTTATTCTTTAAAGATATCTCTAGCTTGTATTAAGATTAGCTAGCTAATGATAACCAACACAAGAGTTTGTACTTTAACCAAAACATATATAACACTTTTATGTGTATCTATAACTCACTTCACTGTTCTCCTAACCATCCATGTTCAAGGTTCTAATTCACAGCATTTTCACTGAACCTCCTCAAGCCTCATTGCCACAGTCTGTAAAATGGGGCTAATAATATGTGCTAGCTGCCATATGGGGTCATTGTGAGGAATACAAACATTAAAGCACGGAACAAAGTATTTATTTTCATTATTATCTATTGTGATTTGGAAGGTCAAGTGGCATAATGTTCTAGGTAAACGTTAGCTGATAGTATCAGTATTCTTACCACTTGAAGGGGGCCAGAGATCACAGACAACATCCTCATCTTCCTCATAAATTCATGTCATGGTATGTCTCATTTCATGTCCATTCATCATGCCTTCCAGTTCCAGAATGGTCAGTCCTTTGATGACTTTGAAGAGCGTTTTGCAGCAGCCATGCCGGTAAGGCTGGGAGGTCCCTCTTCAATTCACTTATTACAATTGTCTTCATGTCATTCATTTCATTTTCACATGTCATCCCTTGTGGTTTCAGAACCGAAACTCATTGGTGGACTTTGACAAATGTTTCAAGAGCGATAATCAGGTAAGGCCTAAGGTCTTGCTCTTATGGCCAATGCCATTGTGTCCCATGGAGAGCCCAGAAGTGTTAGGGGTAGGAAAGAGGAGTCTCACCAGGGACAGAAAAGGTCATGTCCAAGACTTGTCCAATAAAACTGTTTGCAGATATGATGTGGGATATTATGAGAAGGAGAGTAGAATCAAGGAGGTAATGGCTGGAGAGGGGGGAGAGGAAGCAGCCCATTCAGCAAAACCAATGGGAATGGACTGGAATGGAAGGAAGATAAGGGCTCTGAAATCATGGCAAGCAGAACTGTCTGAGTGGGAAAAGGGGGTCTGTTTTGGCAAAGCCAAAGGGGTAGTAGAAAGAGCCATAAGCTGACTTTTCATAAACTGGTATTTGAGCCTCACCTTCACCTCTCTGAGCTACAAAGTCTCAAGCACATTCCTTCCTCACCCTGAGTTTCAGGTTCCTCTTGGTCAGACTAGATGACCTCTAAGGCTTTTGTGAGTTCTCAGTCTTTGACCCTGTTAACCAGATTGTGGTCAACAGTTCATCAGCGGCTAGTCATTTAAGAATCCCCCAGCTCATGGTTATGAAATATTACAGGATTTGGTTTCAACTACTCAGATAAGCTTGGAAAATATTGCTGTTCTTGTTGCTGAGTCATTTCAGACATGTCCAACTCTCCATGACCCCACTGGGGTTTTCTTGGCAAAGATGCTAGAGTGCTTTGCCATTTCATCATCCAGCTCATTTACTGTTTTCATGCTCTCAGACCCGGGAAGAAGGTTGCAGAGGTGATCCAGTCTGGCCAATCCACCACATTCCTGACAAGTGATCCTCCAACCTCTGCATAGAGAATTCTTATAAAAGGGAACTCTGCATTTTGTTTTTGGACATCATTAATTTTAGGACATTTTTCCTTGCCTAGAATCATTTCATTCATGCATGCATTCATTCATTCATTCATTCATTCATTCATCTACTCATTCATTTATTCACTGAACAAATATTGATGAAATACATAGTATATACAGAGCATTGGCCTAGGACCAGAGGTGTTACAAAATTTAATGAAGATGTAATACCCACTTTCATGGAAATTATAGTAGCATGAAAGGATAACACAAATATGCATAACTAGCCTGTTAAAAGGGGGCAGAACAAAATGCTGTTTGAGGCCTGGGGAGAAGTTCATTACTGACCAAGGAAAGGTTCATGGAGGAAATAGCGTTTGACTTGGGCTTAACGTATATGACCTTGGGTAACTTACTTAACCAGCCTCATCTGTGAAATGAGTGGATTGGACTAGATGAGCTTTGAGCTCCCTTTATTTCTAGACCCTAATCCTATGAATGTGTAAGAATGCAACAAATTGAGGGGAAAGGAGGGCATCTGAGGTACAGGGGCCAATATGAAAAGAAGATAAGAAAGTAATTTTGCAAAGCAGAATAAAGCTTGACTAGAGCTATAGAATCTCTAAATGAGGGTAAAATAAGTAAAACTGGAGTGGTAGGGGTACTAGGTTGTGGGGGGTCTTGAATCTCAAGCAAAGGATTCTGAATTTTAGGCAGTGGGGAGCCCCTGAAGAATTATGAGTAAAGAATAATATGACCAATTAGGTTTTGTTTTCCAACATTAAAAAAGTCACATACTATTTTTATGCCACGTACAGTAACGCCTTGGAGAGACAAAGAAGGTATTTAATTATAATCTGGTAGGATATATTAAAGTAATTAATTCTGTAAACATTGTCAAACTAAAATGCAACAGATATTTACTGAGTGTCTGCTACATGCCGGACACTGTGAGGCCTAAAAAGACTTGGATAGAGCTTGTAGTCTATAGGGAAGGTGGATAAGATGTGTTTCCAGATAACTGTAATACTAGATACAATATAATTGATCAGTCACTCATTAAGCATCATATATGTATACATGTGTGTGTTTATGTATGTATGTATGATTCTTAAGTATATCTATCATTAAATTTTTCATGGGAGCTGAAGTGATAATGAAGAAAGGACACAGAAATAAACCCAGTATGAAGCCTTGGACATTCCCCATGGTAAAAGAGTAAATAATGAGTCAACAAAGGAAAAGGATACTGAGAAGGGACAGACAGGTAGGAGTAGAAACCAGAGAAATAGAGAAAAAGAAACAGGGATAAACAGAGAAAGAGAGAGAATCTTTGGGAGTAAGGGAGTGGTTAATAGTCTAAGAAAATGCTGACAAGTCAAGAAGGATGAATGCTAAAAAATGGACCATTAGATTTAGCAATGAAGAGATCACCAGTAATGTTCAAAAGAGTAGGTTCATTTGAACAATGAAGTCAGAAGCTAGATTGGAAGAGGTTGAGAAGTGAGTGGGAAGAAAGGGAATTGAAGTAATTAGAGCAAGAGGATTTTGTTTTTTAATGAATTTGGCTGTAAAAAAAAAAAGAAGACAGTTATTGCAAGGTCATTCGAGGAGGTGGTAGGGTAAAATGAAGGGTTTTTTTTAAGGATAGGGAGACCCGAGAATATTAGAAGCCCACAGGAAAGAGCAAATAGGGAAAAAAAAGGTTAAAGAATATGCATGCACTAGGAACATGAATTAAAAGATGTTTAAACAAAGTGGTATGTCCATTCCTAGGAAGGATGTAAGCATTAAGAAAAGCTCTATGGGAGAGGTGGTAATTAAGCTGGGTAATAAGAGGGCAAGCAGGGTGGATGGGGAAAGGGTCCAATGGAAGGATTATGGTTTGTTAGGTTAGCAATGAAAGGCCTGGGGGTCAAAGTTTCTACCACTCAAGATTTGCAATCACATATGACTATTAAAATTATTTTAATTTTATTACCCAGGAATTTCATTTTCTATGAAATTTAATTAACTAAAGGTGCAAGTTAAACATCTACCATGATGGAATGAAATAACAACATGTGTTTTATGCCTCTCCCTACTTTGCTACTTTAGTGCTTAAATAAAAATACTCTGGCAAAAGAAAAAAAAATACACACACACATACTGGAAAATCCATATTTCAAAAATGAAGGTTATTTTAAAAGTTGTGCTTAAAGAGAAAATTAAGCAATAAATTATCTTTATGCTGTTAGTAAAAAGTGTACTATGAGTTCAGCACATTTCAAATGTAAATTGTATGACTTAATTATTAACTTCGTTTCAATTCCCCCCCCCCCGGAAAGAGAGATGTCCTTCTGTTTTAAAGAAAGAGGGTTCCAATCAGGAGCAAGCCCTGAAGCTTCACTAGAGATGATTAAATAGAATTATTACTTTTATGACTTTTTTAGCTTTTTCAAAGAATAAACGAACCCAGGCCTTCCAAAAAATAGCCAAATGACCTACTTGTACTGTTGGCTTTGAACTTGGAGAAGAGACAACATTTAAGAAAAAAAGATGCTTGTGTCCCACCCAGAATAGGCAGAGTAGCCTACTGCTTTCTTGGTCAGTTCCTTCCCCATCTTGTGACCACTTAGCCAGATTTGGAGCAAGGGAGAAGAAAATGAAATTATTAGAAGTTTTAACTCCATTTTCTCAGCAGCAGAATTGATTTCTCCATCTTTCTCAGAAGTGGAAAAGGCCTTTTGTTGAAAGGAAGAGAAATAATACTTCACCACTACTCACATGTCTTCTTCAGCTCTTCTTAGGAAGCCTTCAAAGGCTTTACCAAGAGTGCTGACATTTCCAAAGGTCACCACCAAGGCAAACTTATCTGCATCATTCTACCTTGTCACTATTATATTACAGTGGCCAAATACCACTCAAAACTGCACTAAGACTTTAGGGACACTGTGGGTATTGAAAAGGGATCTATGCATTGAGAAAGAAATATGGTTGGAGGATCTGGTTCTGGAAGAGACTTCAAGGGTCATTTAGCTTAGCGCTTCATTTTACAGGTAAGAAAACTGATTACCAGGGAGTAACCCACCCAAGGTCAAACAGATAGTAAGTGATGGACAGGATTTGATGGAAATCCCTCCCATCCAGAGTCAGTACTCAAAAACTAATAACACAAATAACTCACAAGCATTTATTTATTGCCTTTCCCTCCCACTGGGAAAACGGGGGAGGGAGAGAAGAAAGAAAAAGCCACCCTTATAACAAATATGTGTGATCAACCAAAACTGAGTCCCACATTAGCCATGTCCACAAACATGTATTACATTCTGCGACTCGAGTCCATCATCACCCGTCAGCAAATGCCAGTGGTTAAAAATTGTAAAAGACGTCAACAAATATAGAAGGTTTTATTCTAAACTAAGTAGCTTTCTTCCTGGGCCTTGCCATCTCCTAGAGAGAGTAAGCAGGTATTACAAGGAAGGAAACAGAGCTCCCAAAAAGCCAAGTTAGGTAGAACAATGGAAAACGTCTTGATTCTAGATTTAAAGGATTTGGGTTAAAATTCTGGATCTGCCACTGGTTATCTGTCTGACTTCAGACAAATCACATAACCTTCTGGGTCTCTGTGTCCTGATTTCTAAAATGAGTGGTTTGCAGCACACCAGAGCTGTCAAATTCGTGTGGCTTACAGCTCATAAAACTGAGTATGGCCCAAATGAGATTCATTTGTCCAAATTGAAATAGAAAAGCATCCTTGAAGGCTATACATTGACTTAGAAAACCACAAATTAATATCATCTATGTTGTATTTTTTACTAATTTTGCTAGGATAAATGAGATGAAGTATCTAAAAGTATTTTGAGAAGTATAAACTATTATATCAATGTAACACATGCATTTGTATTTTTATGTCTACAAATGTATAGAAATATAAATATGTAGACCTATGATTACATATAATATTATAGATATTATACTAGATGGATATTATATGTTATATAGAAATTATATGAGACGGATAATGACCCAGTCTAACTTAGAAGGGAAGCTAGATACTGAGAGGTAACAGCTGATAACGGATAGACCAGATGAGGAAATTATTGTTATCAGGTCATCTCTGCAGCCACAAGGGAAGCCTAGCACATTAGGCAACAAGATCAGCGCTGGACTTTGGGTCATAAAAAGTGAGTTCCAATCACAGCTCAACACTTACCCTGGGCTCCAAGTCTAGCTCTGACACTTCCTAGCTGGGTGATCTTGAGCAAAGGAATTCACCTAACTCCACTAAGCCTCAGACTTCTCATCTACTAAGTGGGGATGACGATATTCACAAATACTTATCTTGTAAGAATCTCCTGAGGAAAAAGTTTTGCAAACTTTAAAGCACTCTTTGAGAGTGAGTTATGTGAGGAATCATTAATTCTTTGTAAGAGGCTTATGAACTATTTTCCAAAAAAAAAAAAAATCAAACAAACATCATCTGTTCCCAAGAGGCAGAAGGATATACACTTACACTGTCAAACTTTTTTTTTTCTGTTCAGGCTGTGACCCAGTTAGAGCTTTTTGGGGACATGTCCACCCCTCCAGATATAACCTCTCCCCCAGTAAGTATCCATTCTTTACTTATGCCCTCTGGTCTCCCAGTCGTTGTTCGTTTGTTTGTCTGTCTTTCCTTTTCTTCTCCCAGCATCCTTTGCTCTTTGCTTAGCTGTTACCATGATTTAGAAAGCAGGGCTGTTGCTTGTAGAGAAGAGTATGACAGTGGCTGTTGTTTGCGTTCTTAATGAGTACATCTCTCTCTCTCTCTCTCTCTCTCTCTCTCTCTCTCTCTCTCTCTCTCTCTCTCTCTCTCTCTCTCTCTCTCTCCCTCTCTTTCCTCTCCCTCTCCCTCTCCTTCCTCCCTCCCTTTCTCTCTCTCCCTCCCTGACACTACTCTCTAAAAGCAGAGCTCATTCAGGATTCAGGGTTGATACTAATAAACAAGCCATGGTTCTGTTGTTGAGAGGGAGAGCAGGGGCACCAGAGGAGACCTCTATATTGAAGGATTAGAGCTCAGTGGTATTTGCTTCCTAGGGTGGCATTCTCTGTGTGTCTCTCTGTATGGTTCCTCCCCATTCTGTGGGGGACCTACAAGGAATTCACATTCAGTGGGCTGGACTCTACCTTCTAAGGCACAAAGTACTCCAAAGGGGTAAGGTGAGATGACACAGTGTTAAAGACAGTGAAGGGCTAAATGAATGAAAGAAAAACATTTATTAAAGACTTACTGGGTGCCAAGCCCTGGGCTAAGTCAGCCCCCTCTGACTCTATTGGCCTCACTTTTGCCTGATAAATCGAGTCCCTAATGTTTAGTTCCTGAAGTTTCCCTTAGCCTAGATTGCAATAATAAATTACTTGTCCTAGATTGAGCCACAATATTGTTTCTCTCCCAGTTCTGGAGTGCACTCCCCCCCATACACACACCTCATAGAATCAATCATTAACTTCCTTCAAATCCCACTTCAATCTCCACCTTCTCTATGAGTACTTCTTTGATCCCCCAGGTGCTTGGGGCTCCCCCTAAAATAAACTTGTGTCCATTTTATATATTATCTTCCTCAGCTCCAGCTTACCATGGAGATATATAGATACAGATATATAGCTATGGAGAGAGAGAGAAAGAAAGAGACAGAGAGAGACAGAGAGACAGAGACTGATACTGAGAGAGGTGGAGAGACAGACAGGCATTGATAGTAAGAGAGATAGAGACACACAGAGACAGAGACAGAGAGGGATCTTGTGTGTGTGTGTGTGTGTGTGTTGTTTCATGTTGTCTCCCTCATTAGACTAACTTTCCAAGGGCAGGAATCAGAATTTTTGGTTATTTTTGGTTTCGTTTTGCCTTTCTTTGTATCCCCAGAAATTAGTATAGGGCTGACATAGAGTAGATGCTTAATAAATGTTGTTGACTTAATTGTAAACTCCAAGAAATACTTCACTTTTATCTTCGCAGCTTCAATGCCTAGCACTGGACCTTGCCCTCAATATGCATATAATAAATGATTGTTAATTAACTGATTGTATAATTTTTTTAGTTAATAAGCATTTGTTTTCTTCTTCCTCCCACCTCTTCCCCCACCCACAAAAAGAAAGAAACCCTTTGTAACAAATAAGCATTGTCAAACAAAACAAATTATTAGTCATAAGGAAGGAGGCACAGATAGGGATGACTTTGGAAATCTCAGAATCCCAACATTGGGAGAATTTTGTGTGTTTTGGGGTGCTGGGGAGCCCTAATAGATACAAGAGGTTTTCTGCTAACGCCACCCTCAGTGGTTTTGCTAGGAAATCTTAAGGGCCAGCTTCATGTAGGGCCAAGTGCGGTAGTCCAAGCCTGAGGCATCATTGCCATGAGTCACTGGCCAGATGTGCATCAGAAGGAAGGGGCAATGACCTCTTTGCTGAGCACAGATGGTGCCAGGCTCTTCAGCCACTGATGCCAGGAGAAGAGTCCAGGGCCAGCTGCAGAGCTCTAGACACCTGATGGCAGTGAGTTCCCGTGACAGTGGAATGAGCAACCGCCTTCATGGGAAAAATGGGAATAATACCATGACATTGGAACCTTGCTCTTTTGTTGTAGGGTTCAGTGATATCTCAGAGGAGTTGCAGTCTAACCTCCTGCAGATCAAGGATGCCCTCAACAACATGACTCCAAATGTTCAGCCAGGCAGAGACTAGGCCCAGCGGTGGGAAATCCATGCCCACCATAGGCACTGCTTTCAATATTCAGGCAACTAGAAGTAAAGAAGATGATATTGAGCCAAAAAGATGCATCCCTGTACCTCCAACTTATTGCTCCTACTTCTATCCTCTTGAGTCAGCCCTTTGGATATTTAAAAATGATAAAGATGCCCCCCCATGTCAATCCCACAGTCCCCACCACATCATTCTTTTTTTCTATGGGAAATACCCTTAGTTTCTTTATCTTGTTCTTGTGTTAGTCAGTTAATAAACATTTTCTAAGCACCTAGTATGTGCTAGGCACTATGCTAAGCTCAAAAGATACCAAAAAAGGCAAAAGACACTCCCTACTCACAGTCAAATGAGGAACTCTCAATCTAATCATATGGCACAGTTTCAAGCTCCCTCACCATCCGGGTCCTCATCTCCACTTTGTCAATGTCCTTCCTAAAATGAGGTAGTGTGGTAGGATGGGAATAACACTGGATCTGGAGGCTGTATGTTCATCCCACCTGAGAGGAGAAGCCCTATGAAGGAGCTTGAACAGTGGAAGAGTTTGTCAGGTCTGGCCATGAAAACCCAGTTACAGGGGTGGGGGGAGAAGTTGGGGAGAAGAATGTTGGTGGGGGCTCACAGCATCTTAAGAGTCCCTCCAGAGGTACTAAGAAGTAGTCAAGTTGTGTTCCAAGAGTTCTGAAGTGCCAATGAGGATGGAAAAGAGGCAACAGAAGTGGAGGAAGGATGGAACTGAGGTACCTAAGGCTGAGCAGAAAAGTCAAATTGAGTCCAAAGTCTGGGGCACTAGAGTTCTACTGAGAAGGACAATTCAGATACATAGGCCCACTGCTTCCATGGAAAGGGTGCCATGTTTAGAGGCAAAGGACCTGGATTTCATTCCTGATTCTACCATTTACCTTCTCAGTATTATAGAGTAAGTTACTTACCGTGTTTCCTTATCTGCGAAATGAGGGGATTCAATTTTGCCATCTCTCTCAGGGCTATAATTCATGGGAATATAGACTTAAATCTGCAAGGGGCCTTTGAGATCCTCATTTTACAGACACAGAGAGAAATGCCTTGCCCAGGATCATATGAGTAGGAGGTATCTGAGGTAGGATTTGAACCCAACTCTTCTTGACTCCAAGTTCCGTCTTCGTATTCTCCTACTTTGCCACTCATATCCTATATGATCCCAGAGATTGTTAGAAAATTGCTTTGCTCAGAGACAAGCCTTGGATGCATGTACCACTCACTCGGTTTTGGCTTTTAACAATGAAGAAAGTGGAAATGGTAACAATCATCCCGCCATTTTGTCTCTAGAGCTTCTCCTCCCACACATCACAATGGTCCTCCTTATCATACTCCATCTGATTCTTTCTCTTTTTCAGACTCCTGCAACTCCAGGTGATGCCTTTATCCCGCCTTCATCTCAGACACTCCCCTCTAGTGCCGAAATGTTTGGTTCTGTACCTTTCAGCACTACTGCTGTACCCTCAGGTAAGGAAGAACTCCTTAGATTGGCTCAATCCGAGATTGGCTTTTACTCAGGCCAGGTCCCATAGAGCTCTTAGAGATATGAAACACAGCACCTACCTACCTGCAGCTCCCAACACTCCCGAGTGCAGCCTGAATGAGATTAAAATATAATTGGGGAATATTTTACAAAATAAGTAAAGCTATGTTAAAACATAGATAATATTATACTTTAAAATGAAGTCAATAGGCAACCCACAATATACAACCTTGTGTATGAGTTTGTTGTTATCACTGATTTAAGGAATATTTAGTAGCCTGCCTTTTACTTCTCAAAAGAAGCATTTACCTTTAGACAGCCCCCCAAATCAATGTAGTTGCTCAGTTGATGTATTCTTTTCCTTAAATCACATAAATTAAATATCACTCAGTTGTGTCCTACTCTTTGTGACCTCATGGACCATAGATAGTGTCCACGGGGTTTTCTTGGCAAAGATACTGGAGTCATTTGCCATTTCCTTTTCCAGATGTTGTACAAATTAATGCCCCCATTTCTATTTGGTTTTGATTTGGGTTTTTTGTTTGTTTGTTTGTTTTTGCTAGGCAATGGGATTAATTAAGTGCCTTGCCCAGGGTCACAAAGCTAGTAAATTTCAAGTGTCTGAGGCCAGTTTGAATTCAGGTCCTCTTGACTCCTGGGATGGTACTCTATCCACTGTACCACTTGCTGCCCTGCCCCTATTTCTATTTGAGTTTGACATCACTGATCTAGAGGACCCACCTCTTGCTAGCTTAGGAGGTCACTAAGAAGTTGGAGAGGACTGGGGGAGAGGGAAGGGGATTGGCTACCATTTCTTTCATCTGTAAAATGACTGGTTTAGACTACAGCATCTCTGAGGGCTGTTCCAGCTGTAGCATTGTCTAACATTCTATGGCTTAATGTCCCTGGGAGCTCTTGAAAGTCTAGAGAGGAACAGTAAGATGCTATGAAGAAGATTTATTGCCCCTAGAGTTAGAAAACATAGGTCAAACATACCTCTGATACCATGCCCTTAATTTTGGTCAAGTCATTTAAGTTTACTGGGCCTCAGTTTTCTCATTTGTAAAATGAAAGAGTTGGTATACATGACATCCAAGATGCATTCCAGCTTTTGATGTAGAATTCCATATTTGAAAGTCCCTGCTATTTCTAATTAGTCTCCTTTAAGGCCCCGTCAAGCTTGATTTTAATATTCTGTGTTCTAAAGATCCTCTCAAAGGGCTTTCTCAGTTTTGACATTCTGTGTTCTAAGATTCCTCTCAGCTTTTGAATTCTCTGCTCTGAGACCCCTCCCAGCCCTGGCATTCTATGCTCTAAGGCTTCTCCCAGCCCTGGAATTCTCTATTCTGAGGCCCCTCCCAGCCCTGACATTCTACACTTTATGGTCCCTCCTAGTTATCACATTCTCTGATCTATTTCCTGTATGTGGTGACTCTCAGACTCCTTTTAGTTTCTTTCATACTTCTCCAAGGGGCTCTGAGTCATCTTCCTTGACTGCCAGTTATACTGGTAACCTTACATTTGCATTACAATAAAGCAAAGAAAATTTAAAATGGAAAGTCTTGAAGAAAAGCCTGAGCCTGGAAGTGACCCTTGACTATAGCAGTAACTGCTTTCCACCCTCCTAGAAATAGAGAAAGACAGCCCCAAGCATCCATTTACACATTCATTCACCCTTTACTGCCATAATGAGGGAGATGCAGAGCAGAGTACTATGCTTGGATAACTGGACTGTCACAATATTTTTCTGGTCCTCAGTCTATCTTCATCTATTAAATGGAGTTATACTATATTATGAAAAGAAAGAAAGAAAGAAAGAAAGAAAGGAAGGAAGGAAGGAAGGAAGGAAGGAAGGAAGGAAGGAAGGAAAGAAGGAGGAAAAAATAAAGAAAAAGGAAAGAGAAAGAGATAAACAGCTTAGTAAAATAACTCAACAGCATCATTTGAGTCTGATAGTGTATGCAGTTATGCACACTCCTCTGCCCTCACCCCTGCAAAGAAAGGAGGGAAAGGCATTTTGTCTTCCCTTCAAGGGGCCAAGATGAGTCATTTGTAATAAGTCCAGATTCTATTTTTAGTTCTTTCCATTTGCATTATTGTTATCACTGGGTATATTGTTTTCCTATTCTGCTTATTCTACATTTCATCTGTTCACAAAAGTTTTCCCATGCTTCTCTGAATTTTTCATATTCCTCATTTATTAAATGTTGCACTATCCCATCACATTCATGTTCCAAAGTTTGTTCAGTCATTCCCCAATCAATTAGCACCTATGTTTGTTTCCAGTTCTTCGGAATGAACACATTTTTAAAAAGTGCTACTATGGCTATTTTGGTACACATGGAAAACAACCTCCTTGGTGTAGCTGCCTAGGAGAAGCACTGCTCTTTTAGAACTCTTCAGCGCTACAAAAGCAAACTTAGATATTTAGTAGCCTGCCTTTTCCTTCTCAAAAGAAGTATTTACCTTTAGACAGCCCCCAGCCCAAATCAATATAGTTGCTCAATTGTTGTATTCTTTTCCTTAAATATAAAATCACTTCCAGTCCTGTGGAGACTATACTAAAAAGAACTGCAGTTTTCTTCTCTTCTTTCCTCCTCCTTATTGAATTTTTCATCAAAAGCAATTTTATTCCTATCTTTACTTTTTATATTGCCTTAATTTCCCAATTTGTCACTCCTTTCTCTGCCTCCAAGAGAGCCATCTTTTATAATAAAGAATAAAAAAGGGTGATAAAAGTTCAGCAGAATGTACCAGCACCTCACCCGAGTGAGCTATATAAGTTCTCAGAATCTATAGTCCCTATGCATTCTTATGTTTCTTCTTTGAGGCCAATGTGTTTATTATAATCTCGAAACATTCACTCTCACTTTTTTTGTTTCTGTTGTCCTTTTCATTTACATCTTTCCTGTCACTGTGCACATTGTTTTCCTAGTTCTACTTACTTGACTTGACATCAGTGCATACAAATCTTCCAATATTTCTCTGAATATTTTTTTATTCCCTCTTTCCCATTCAATGTGCATCTATACTCTTGCCCCAGTTCTTTGCTACTTCCAACAGGACTTTTCATCTCTCTGTCACTGAATGAAGATAATTACTAGAAAACAAAATTCACAAGAACCCCTCACTAATCATCTCCTTTCACTTTTTGAACTAGAACACTTCTAATTGATCAGAGCTCAGTTGTCTAAACAGATGCCACCCAGTATTAACTCTCCCCTGAAGAACACCCCTAAGTACACTGTTAATAAGCTATTAAATCCAAGGTAAACCCACACCAGTTTCAGCCTTATCACATGATTTTTCAGGATCCAAGTTAAGATTTCCCACCAGACTGCACAGAAACGTAGCTTTAAGGCCAAAGTTCCTGTGTGGTATTCTATTCTCAAGACCTTCCCTGAAAGAAAATGGGGGTGAGAGGCCTTCAAATGCACAGACACACAAGCCCGTTTCCCAGTGCTCCAAGCTTCTGTCCCCATCTCCCCCTCCCCAAATACTGTGCTCTCAGCAGATGGCATGGAGCCAAGGAGACATGCTAATAGCTCTCCAGAAAAATGTGCTCTACCCATCTGTCAGCCCTGGTTGAAGAAGAAGAGGAAGAAAAGAAAGAAAGAAAGAAAAAAAGAAAACCCACTCTTATTTCTTGCACTGCGGATCATTCTTGGAGTTCAAATGCTTGTTTGGAATTCTCAAGCTATTGCTCAGTTCCTGCCGGTAGAAGCCTTTTGTCCATGTACTGACTGCTCATTCCTGGGTATGGCACGAGGAATGCCAGCCTCAGAAAAGAAGATCGGAGTTTGAGCCTTAACTCTACCCCCTGTTAGCTGGAGAATGGGGATCAAGGCAGTCTATTTTGGGAGTCTCAGTTTCCTTATATATAGAATAGCGATAACTGATCTTCCTCTCCCTACCTCTCAGAGCTGCTGTGAGAATAAGGTAGCCTTGGAGATTCGATTTTTGATTTCATTGGTATAAGGAATTCCTGGATGATGAACTTCCTCCGCCAATGCCAATGGGCACTTATTTAAATGACAGTGTTAGAGCTGATTAAAGCACTGGAAGGAAGATCAAGTGCCTTATCCAGGGTTACAAAATTTCTTATCATTATCATTATTGTTATAGTTGTTATTGTTATTGTTAGTGACTAGAACGATTTATTGTTGTGTATGTGTTCTGACTAACTGAACTCTTCTCCCGACATTATTCTCCTAGGTTACGTTGCCATGGGCGCTGTCCTCCCCTCATTCTGGGGACAGCAGCCCCTTGTTCAACAGCAAATCGCCATGGGTGCTCCGCCACCAGTGGCTCAGGTGATGCCAGGGGGACAGCCAATAGCATGGGGCCAACCGGGTATCTTCCCTGCCCCTCAGCAACCATGGCCATCTGTAGCTGGTCAGTTCCCACCCACCGCCTTCATGCCAACACAAACTGTGATGCCTTTACCGGCTGCCATGTTTCAAGGTGCCCTCGCCCCCCTCGCCACTATCCCCACCACCAGCGATTCCACCCGATCGAGTCCCCAGACAGACAGGCCCCAACAGAAAATGGGTAAAGAAATGTTTAAAGATTTCCAGATGGTCCCGCCTCCCCCGGTACCCTCCCGGAAACCTGACCAGCCTTCCCTCAGTTGTACCTCAGAGGCCTTCTCCACTTATTTCAACAAAGTCGGGGTGGCACAGGATACAGATGACTGTGATGACTTTGACATCTCACAATTGAACTTGACCCCTGTGACTTCAACAACGCCATCGACCAACTCACGTGAGTAGCCCGCTTACATCTTGTACCTCTGGGGAAGGGACATCTCTTAGAGGCAAACTGGAATCCAACTGTCCATAGGACATCACCAGATCTCAATGTCCGTTGACTGATTAACCGATTGATAACAACCCTCTTTTAATTTTCAGCCTATCAAGCCTATAAAATATCGCATACATTTTAAAGAGACTGCTGTGTGCAAAGCACTGGGGAAGATACACAGTGTAGATAGAATTCCATAAGGTTGCAAAAAAAGGAGGGGGGGCAAAAACATAGCCCCTGTGCTCAAGTAGCTAGCATCGTATTGGAGAGACAAGATGGAAACAACTGTGTGTGTGTGTGTGTGTGTGTGGTGGTGTGTGTATAAAGTTTATATATGATGTACACAGACCAGATAGAAGGTAATTATAGAGGGAAAACACTAACAATTGGGGGATGGGAGAGGGAGTCCTGGGGACGGTCTCTTTCAGAAGATGAAATTTGAACTGAGTCTTGAAGGAAGCCAGGAAAGCCAGGAGATGAGGGAAGGAGGGAGAGCATTCCAGGCATGGGAGACACCAGAGAAAATGTCTGGAGTCAAGAGATGGAGCATCTCCTGTGTGCTATATATAATAAAGAGACCAGTGTCACTGGATCAAAGAAGATGGTGGAGGTTGGGGGTGGGAGGTGGAAGAAGACCAGAAAGGTAGAGGGAGGTATGGTTAGGAGGGGCATTCAGTGCCAAGCTGAGGGTTTTATTTTTGATCACAGAGGTAAGAGGGAGCCACTGCTGTTTATTAAGACTATGAAGGAGAAGGAAGATGTAGTCAGACCTGTGCTTTAGGAAAATCACTGGAGAATGGATTGAAGTTGAGGGAAACCCACAATGGAGGGAACAGTTAGAAGGCTATTATGCTAGTTCGTAAGGGCTCACACCAAGTGGTAGCTCCATAAAGGGAAAGAAAGGGATCAATCAGTCAATCAAGCAATAAACATTTATTAAGCACTTACTCTATGCCAGGCACTATGCTAATTAAGCACTGGATGTATAGGAAATGTCATAGAGTTAAAAATGTCAGGCCTGAGTATGTGGGTTGTATCGCGTAAGGAGCTGAGGACAGCTCAAAGATAGGCTGGGTGACTGAGGAAGAAGGGTGGGGCCCATGACCATGACAAGAAAGGTGAGGGAAAGGGAGAGTTTGGGGCTGAGGGGGGAAGGATTTCAGGAGCCAGCTTTTTTACAAGAAGGAAAGTGAGGGCCAAAGAAGGAAAATGATTTGTATGAGAGTTGACAGGCAGGGTCAAAGGTCAGATTTGAACCTAGATTCTTGGACTCCAGAGCTGATGGGCATTGTGATTGTCATCCTGCTTCCTGCTGGTTCTAGTGCTAGACTTGAAGTCAGGAAGCCTTGGGCAGTGTGGGAGTTGGGATTACAAAGACAAGTGGTCCTCCCTTATGGAACTTATATTCAGACAGGGAAAATAATAGGCTCCTGTGGAAATTTGTGCAGAAGATAAACAAAAATTAATCAAATTTAAGTGGCAGCTAGGTGGTGCCATAATGCATAGCGTGCTCAGCCTGGAGTCAGGAAAACTCATCTTCCTGAGTTCAAACCTGACCTCAGACACCTTCTAGCTGTGTGACCCTGGGCAAGTCACTTAACCCTGTTTGCCTCAGTTTCCTCATTTACAAAAGAGAGAGGGAAATGGCAAACCACTCCAGTATCTTTGCAAAGCAAACCCCAGATGGGGTCATGATGAGTCAGACACAACTGAGAAATGACTGAACAACACCAAATTGAGTTTGAGGTTGGGGGCCCTAAGACCTGAGTGCATTAGGAAAGGCCTCATGGAGAAGGTATCGCTTGAGCTGAGTCTTAAAAGGATCTAGGAATCCTAAAAGGGGAAGTTAAGGAGGAAAAGCATGCCAGGCATGGGAAACAGCAGGTGCAAAGAACTGGAGATGGGAGATGTATTATTGTGTGTGCGAAACAGTGAGGAAGCCAGTATGGCTGGAATGTAGAGTACATGGAGGAGAATAATGGTCAACCATGCTAGAGAGGTAGGAAGTGTGAAGTATAGATCACAAGGCCTATTCTACAAATAAGGAAACTGAGGCACAAGAAAGGTTAAGTGTCACTAAACTCATAACTGTCCGATCTAAGATTCAAACCCATCTTTATCTGTCTCTATCTGTCTATCTGTTTCTCTCCCTCTCCCTTCCCATCTCTCTCTTTGTCTCTCTCTCTCTCTGCTTCTTTGTCTGTCTCTGCCTCTGTTTCTCTCTCTCTCTCTCTTCCTGTGTGTCTGCTCTTGTTGCTCTCTGATTCTGTCTTTCTCTGTTTCTCTCTCTGTCTCTCTCTGTCTCTGCCTCTCTCTCATAGACATCTGCTTTTACAACATGGAATTTAAGTAAAATTTTAAACTACATAAAAAGAGTGCCTTAGTACAACAGTGAGCCTTCACCTCCAAGTTATATTGAGAGGAGAGGAAGATATGTCTGAATATGATACAATCTTAGATACAAGACTTTAAGATAATCATTAAGTACCTACTGTTTGCTGTGCACAATGTCAAAAGAATTGAATTTTATTGATGACCCTCCTCATTAAAAAATCACCATATTTTCCAAAGAAACCAAAAAAGTAGGAATAGGTCATTTTATGGAGCTATGTGTTAATAATAATGACAGTGCTCTAGTGTTTGCAGATTGCTTTCCAAGTCTTATCCCAGCAGCCCTGGGAGGCAGGTGCTTTTATTTTCCCCATTTTACAGTTGAGGAAACTGAAACTGAAGGAATTTGAATGATGTATCCTAGCTCATGCAGCTTGTTATTCACTGAGGTCAAATTTGAACTCAGGTCTTCTTGACTCCAGGCCTAGAGCTCTATCCACTGCACCACTTAGCCTCCTGACTTTAAATTATGAATTTTTAAAGTACTTTGCATGCATGATTTCATGTGATGCTCACAATAACCCCATAAAGTACATATTTTGCCCATTTTGCAGATCAGGAGGCTGAGGCCCAGAGAGATCAGCTGGTTTTTATAATCATAGATTTTGAGCTGGAAGGGATCTAATAGGTCATCAAGCCTAAGCCCTTCATTTTACAACTGAGGAAACTGAGGCAGGTGATGGTTAGGTGATTTGCTCAGTCACACTGATAGTAAGTGTCACAGGTAGGATTTGAACCCAGGTCTTCCAAGCCCCAAGTCCAACATTATGTACTCTACCACAGTACCTCACCTGGTGACATGTTACATATAATCAATCTGTCCACAAGCATTTATTAGGTGCCACTGTGTACCAGGCTCTGTACCTAGTAGACACTAGTAGACCCCATCTGGGGTTTTCTTTGCTAGTTCAAAATATTCAGCAATCTCTTCTCTCAGGGATCTTATATTCTAATGGAGGAGATAGCATGACTTTAATAAAAAGAGATATACACAGAAACAGGAAGATGGGAAAGCCCCCTAGGTTTGGAGCTAGACGGGCCTCCCCTGGGTCCCAGCTTTGACGCTTACTCCCTGTGTGGCTCTGGAAAGTTTCACAGGATCGCAATGGAGAGGTCCTCAGACTAGAGAGTTCAATCGCCTCATTCTAGAGGTTAGGAAACTGAGGCCCAGGGTGGTCATGTACTCACTGACCTTGATCTGGATGGGACCTCAGAAGTCATTGGGTTCACGCTCCTCTGAGGCTCAGAGAAAGTTAGCGTGACCACCCCAGGGTCACACCACTAGTAACTGCCAGAGGTAGCATGTGTACCCAGTTCGTTGGGCTTCTCACTATACCATGGCACCTCTGAGTACAGAGAAGGCAGTTGATGTCTTCACCCCTCTGAGTCCCAATGTCTCTATCTATAAAGTGAAGATGGGGAGACCCACACTCCTTCTTTATGGGGCCCTTGCGGAGAATGTGCTTGGTAAAGTGCTACGTTAAAGTGAGCCACTGTTATTCTGAAGTCATGGAATGCATTCCTCCAGCATCTGTCTGGTGTATGCCTCCCGTGCTGGCTGCCAATTGGAAAGTGATGAATGAAGAGGAGACTTTCAGAGTGTGTACTTGTTTCAGTCCAAAGATAGGGGGAGGAGCAGGAGGCAGAAAATACTGCTCAGCATCATAGCTCTGCCATCTGTAGAGCCGGGAGCCATCTGGGGGTAGATAGTCAGACCCAAAAGACTCTTTTTTTTTTTTTTGAAAATCCATTGTGTCCCTTAAAATTCAGTCCAAGTTCCTACCTGGAATAAGAGCCTCCAGACTCTTACTCTGTAGTCTGTCCTTTGGACAGCTGGCCAAGCAGTCACCAGAGTACAATAGATAGAGTCACTGAAGCAGTCAACCAGTATTGATCAAGTGCTTACCATTAGGCAGCCACTATACTGAACTCTAGACCCATAAGGAAAAACTATATGTGATAGTAGCAAGAGCGCTGGGCAGAGAATGGAACTTGGATCCCAGCAGACCCAGTTTCTTTCCTTTAAAAAAATATTCATTTTTAGCATTCTTTTTTTTAATTGAATTCCACATTCTTTCCCTCTTTTCCACCATTCCCCTATGCACTGAGAAGGAAAGCAAAATTATATCAATTATGCATGTGAAATCATACAAAATATTTTCATATTAGCCATATTACAAAAAAGAAGTAAAAAATAAAGCGAGAAAATTATACTTGAGTTCATATGTTCTCTCCCAGGAGGAGGATAGCATTTTTTCATCATGAGTCCTTTGGAATTGTCTTGGATCACTGTTTTAATCAAAGTAGCTAAGTCTTTCACAGTTGATCATCATGACAACATTGCTATTACTTTGCACAATGATTACCCTATTCTTCTCACTTCACTCTGCGTCAGTTCATATAAATCTTGCCATTTTTTTCTGAAACCGCCTCCTCCTCGTTATTTACCACAGCACAATAGTATTCTGTCAAAATCATATACCACAGGGTGTTCAGCCATTCTTGAATTAATGGACATCATCTCAATTTCTAATTCTTTGCCACTACAAAAAGAGATGCAAAAAATATTT